GATACTTAAAAAGTTAAGAGAGAGTGACACGGCATATTATCAACTATGCCATCTCGTGAGGCAAGGCGAGCAGCCCAGAGAAAATTTCTTCCTACTTACAAACTTAGTGGAGGACCAGACCAGCGGTACTAATAGCTATACTGACTGGGTTCTACAACTACACCGACAAGTCCAACAAAAAGCGTAATATACTGGTAATGGTCCTCTCGGTCATCATTCAATTGTATCGTAGACTCGAATAAAAATACTACGTACTAGCTTGTTTGGTAAGGAGGATTATAATGAACTTGACATTTTTAAAGATGAAAAAGAAAAATGAATGTCGGACATCGCACTTCCAATCACGTCCAATATTGTACAGCAGTAAACATGTTATACACACATATCAAGAGCAGGAACCTCTTTCTTTTTTCTTTTTTTTGTTTGTTATTTCATAGAGTTAAGTTACAAATTTCCGTAGTTTTTTTTTAATCATACAAATGGTGCAATTCCTTGATATTTCTGCTTCTTTTAGTCCAATGTTTTCGTCATAGGGATGTTTCTTTGTTTTATTCCCATTTTAAGTCATTAGAAGTCAGTTCTTTTATAACTATGTTCAAGTGATATCTCCTTTGTTGTTACAGCGCAATATTATTATCTACTAGGGAAATTAGAAATTAACTGAACAGGAGATCGTCAATATTGAAGTTTTTGATATATATACTCAAAATCCACTTTTTGTATGTCAGTTTCTATGGCTGATCCTATGAAAATTTCCATTTCCACAAGACTTATCCTTGCCCTTTTCCAGTTTCATGATCCTGATGATTCTATAGACAGCCGCCAGCCACCTGTGATGGTCAATTAAGAATTTTGAAGCAAATTTTAGCTGCCCCGTCAATTTCCAGATGGTTGAGTATCAAAGTAGGAAAGCTTTGTGGAGCAAACGAGTTATTTGTTCATGATGAGACTGCATAAATCATGTACAATTTATTGGTGAATCGACAAATTTTGGTGTGTACTATTGGAATGTCCATATCTATGAAGGTTCTCTGGATTTTAACTGGAAGGAGATTCAAGGAGGCAGCTTTTCCAAGGTCTGAGGGAAACTTTTCAAAGTTGAAATAAAAACCTATAATTTTAATTTAGATTAAGAAATTTTTTTAATTTTTTCTTTTTTGTGGGTTTATGACAATAATTGGTGTACTTTTATTTTCAGTTTTCTAACTTTCTAGTGATTATATGGATTTTAGTATTTAGATATAGATACTGAGAGTTTTTGTCATCTTCACAGCGTTTGGAAACCTTATTTGAGCACTAGCTATTTGTTTTGTTGCAAGAAAACTAACACCCACTCCACTCCACCCCAACCCCAACACACACTTCTCTTTGTTTCTGAATGAAATGGTGGTGTCATGTTGAAGACAAGATTTATATAAATACGTGCCTTCGTTTGACAATCATTATTTCAAAATTTACTAATTCTCATATTCATTTTTAACTACATGTTTACATAATAAAATATTTGCACAAAAATTCAAAAAAAAAAATAAAATTTTCCATTTTTTAACTATACATTCTTTAAAAAATCATTATTCAAAAATTCATGTTCTCAAAATAATGGCCATCAAATGGGGACAATCTGTCTTTGAAAGCTTGAGAACATGATATTATTAAGAGTGTGTTTGGTAGAGATTTTTGAGGGAAGAATTGATTTTTGAATAGTGATATGATAGGAAATGTGTGGTTGAAAAAGAAGAAAAAAGTATTGATGTTAGAATTACAAAATTGAACATGCATACATGCCTAAGAGAATGAGCAGCCCGATTAAAGTAAAACAAATTAGAAGTAGAAGAGATTCAAATTATTCATACAATGGTAAGATGGGACAAGAATTAAAAGTATTTCATTAGAAACGAGGAAAAAAAAAAGAAAGGAAATAGACAATAACAATCGAGTAATTAGTAAATACAAGACTGTAGTGAGAAGGTGTTTAGCATCGTCAAAATATTATCAATTTTTTAATAGATTTTGATAAATATTGATGAAATGTATAATTGAAAAGTCGATGATAAAAATTGTGGAGTCTCGTGAAATATATGATTAAAATGTACGATGACGACGCTCTTCATTTTACGGTATTAGAGATAGTCGAGTACTATAATCTTGACCTCGTAAAAAAGGGCATAACGGCCTATTAACAATGCCTAATTACCAATAGATCCGTCATGGGAAATACAAAATGGGACATGAAGAATATTTTTTTCAAGGATAGGTAAAGATCTCAAAAGCACAAACACAAATTCTGTCGCCAACATTTCTAACATTAACTTCTTCAAGATTCCCACGCACAAATATGGAAAGATTCTCATTTCTTAAAAAAAATCACAGTAAATATTATACTTTTCCTCGACCAAACAAAAAGACAAGCACAAAAAAAAAAAAAGAAAAAAAAAAAGATAAGATTAAAAATATAAATGACAATTAATTAACCCAAATCCCAATAAACAAGAATAAATATAACGACGAATAGTTATAATTTTAGAAGACGAGATGCATGAACATTTTTCCGTGATCCCATCAACGGGTGAAGCAACCACATGATCTGATCTTCCTACGGCGAGGTAGAAAGTTAAGATCATGCTGGCAGCTTCAACTGATAATGGTGCACGATTTCTCCATAAACATAAAATTTTCCTCTCAATGGCACGAATAATCGATGGAGATGTACATAGAGAAAGAGAGAGAGAGAGAGAGAGAGAGAGAGAGAGAGAGAGAGATGTATGTACATACATTTTTCTACAGTCTAGGTGAGTGAAAATATGAGAGGGGATTGAATGGATATATATAGAGAGGGCAGCCAGGAAGATACACTTTCTTAGTACCAACTTTTATTTGGTGCCTATTTCTTAGTATAAGTACTTATTTTGTTCTGAAAAGCAATTATGAATTAATTTATATAAAATGTAAGAAGCAGAGATGGCAGTGGTCCAAAGTGAGACAAGTTGAATATTGTCACTCCCACGCCACCAACATGCGGACAAAGCTAGTGTGACTTCCCATATTAAACCTACACCCTTTTTTAACTTTAGTCTTTAGGGAAAGGCCCGTCTCTCTCTCTCTCTCATAAACTTTTTTTTTTTCATCGTTTCATTTGATTCTTAGGTATGTTTACTCGATTATAGGCGGGGTTCTAAACCTTTGAGAAAAATAGCTCTTAGGACCCCCGAGAGATCATGTGCCACATTGGTGGTAAAATTCACGGTTTTCACCCATTGGAGATCTATGTACTTAAAGTTGCGGACCTAAAAAACTCAAAATATTGATTTCAAACTCAAATTCTAAATTCCGTAAAGGGTGAGGACCCGGTTGCAATTTTTCATTTTGCAATCGGTTCGCATTAATTTTAGTCTCTCTCTCTTTCTTCCTATTCATTTTTCACCTCTCATTTTCATTCTTATTCATTATTCAACGAAAAAATGGTATAAATAGATCGATGCCCTTTATTAACATTAAGAAAAAGAGGTTAGATTATGATATCCCTTTTCTCCCACTATGGTTCGTATTTCGGATTGCATTCTTGCACTAGTCGAATTTGAGTTATATACATGAAAGTGTAAGAATTCAATATGATTCCCTTCATTGTCCGATTCGAGGGGGAGAAGGCTGGTTAGGTTATCAAGAACCGGATATTTTTTTTTTTTGTCTAAACAAATTAAGATGTACTGAAATGGTATCACTCTTTAAATCAAAAATTATGAACTTTACATTAATTGTACACAAATATGTGAAACTAAAAAATGAGAGTCTAACAAATGGAGCTCTTAGGGGACCATTTGCATGGCTTATTTGTTGTAGGAGAAAGGAAAGGCATCTTACCTAACAATTCATGTGACTCTACCGTCTACACCCCACCCCACCCTCTTTCTCTCTCTCTCTCTCTCTCTCACACACACACTACTTATCTCTTTCCTTCTCTCTCTCAAAATCGTGTACATATACATACAAGATATACATATGTATATCTAGGGCTACCTTTCTCTTCTTTCCTAATGAGTATCTTTCCTTTGTTCAATAAGGATAACTTGTTCTTTACAAACATGGAATGACATTTGTCTGATTCTTGCATCCATTTGTTGTTAGCTACTTATAATAAGCAATTTTATAAAGACCGGACTATGGATTGAGTAATATATACGAGTCTAATCTGTAAAGCTGAAATGATCTGATACTAGAAAACAAAAAAATAAATTGAAACAATCCTTGGAAAAGTTGTGGTGATTTTGACATTCAATTGTTTTTGATTCCTTTGGTTACGTCCAGACATAGGGAACCAATAGATGCATGCAGTGGAAAGCTATTCTCAAGAAAAAGTTCCCAACAATTTTTGTAAGATTTTGCTACATGTATATAAAAAATGTACAAAATAGGACGTTGAGGGAAAATATTGGATGAAAAAGTTGATTGTGTTTGAAACTGGTAAATGGTAGAGTATTGGGTGCCTCGATGTGTCTATGCTGGTGTCAAAAGTGTGCCCAAGTTGCTACCTTACTGTGCCTAAGTTGTTTCTTGCGTTAATGAATTGGGTGCATATATTATACAAAAATTATTTCCAAAAAAAAACTACAAATTATTCAAAGGTTAAGACCCTCCAATAGAGCCCAATATGCAAAGGTCATTTTCACGTTACAATTGGACGCAAATACTTTGGCCCAGTCTGTTTGGACCAGAGACGGACCAAATTTACATTTCAAGTCTATAAATAATAATAGTCAGGGTTGTTTGAAATATTATATTCACATTTTTATAATTAAGATAAGATAAGAAAATCGCTATTTAATTGGAAAATTTATTATTAAGAAATTAATTTTGACATTGATCACTAAAAAAATTTAATATATAAAATCCAAAATGCATTACATACCTTTTTTTTTCTCTCCTCCTTAATAAGTAAAACAAAGGAACATTATAAATCCACACATCGGGTTTATAACATCCATTGGTTATTTCTACTCCCATTTTCAATTCCTAGAATCCCGAAGGCATTCATCAGAAAGCATGTCATTCTGTTTGGAACAGACACGAAAATCAAGTGTTTAAAAATGTATAATGTAACACGCTTGACATGGAGAAATACTATGTTTGCCCATTTCTAGTCACCTCCAAAATCATAGGTCAGACGTAATATTACTTCATTACCGTTTGCTGCTTGCCATCTGGAATGGAAAACAGAACTATAGGCTTTGAAGGTCGAATGAGAGGAACATCGCATCGGTAATACCCTTTTCTCTCAAGCTGTATGATGTCTCCACTTTTCAAGTTCCGCATATCGGATTCCCCAAGTGCTAGAGTCTCCTTCTTTGTAGATGGATTGACCACGTCCACAAAATTCTCATCTTCCTCAAGCTGCAATGACAAACAACCATAAAATGAGCAATCTACCAACCTAGTACCGAATATTTACTATTCAGCTCATAATGAGGGGAATTAAACTAAATCTGCCCAAGAATGATGAATGCATCAAAAGAAAAAAATAATAATAATTGATTTGCGAAATAATATAATGAAATTAAAAAATATATATATATAAATTCCTTTTTGACAGAAAACATCACCTTCTTCTTTGTAATCAGATAATCAAAATCCACCAAATTGAGTCTGACAAGCTCATTCGTGTCCGGCAGCCAAGTGAGCTTCAACTTCGTCTTCTTAACATTTCCTTCAAGATGCAAAACTCCAACTAGCTCTGAGACCTTTCCATCCTGGTCCTTCTTGATTTCCTTTACAATTGCATTACCCCAATCCTTCAGAGTTACTTCCTCACTGACTGAAATTGACTCAGCATCAACATAATCTATCCAAATTCTATTTGAATAAGTAACAGCTTTCTCCCCAGCACCTTCATATTTCTTGTGCTTCGGTAAAATGCGTACAAAAGGATCTTTGGGGCCATCAGATAGAATCAGCAATACACGTCTTTCTTCAGTGATAGCAGTATGCCTGGGACACACAGGATCAATGATCTTCTTATTTATAGCCCAGAGCTTGTCCCATTCCATGAGATTGAGATTCTTGGATGCCCCCTAAACAATTCAGAGGAGATATTCAAATTCCCGGTAAAATTAAACACGGTTTCTTTAGACCTTTTACTGAACAGTTATTTGCCATATATGATATAAAACATTAAAAACCTCAAGGAAGAGGAGAAAGCAAAAATGATTGCTATGACACCAGACTATGAACAACATTTAAGATAGGTTTTAATATTGTCATCTTGTTGAATAGTTAGTAATGGAGGTATGGTTCTGCAGTATTTTGTGGATAATGTCTCGAAAATAAACTTACTTGTTCCAAAATGAACTGTATCAATGCTTCGATCTTCAGACCCCTGCGCACTATTCCTTGGACAGTAGGAAAACGCGGATCATCCCAACCTTCAACTTTTCCGTTTTGAACGAACCAAAGCAACTTGCGCTTGCTAAGAAGTGTATAAACCATATTAAGCCGACTAAACTCATATATATGAACCCTTTTGCATCCCATATCCATCTGAATTCTGTAATATTGATCGTTACGATCATGGTATTCACTGGATCGAAGTGCATGTGTAATACCTTCCACGGCATCAACGAACGGACAACAAAAGTCATACGTTGGGTATACTTTATATTTGGACCCAATCCTGTGGTGAGGAGTCAAATTGCAGCGATAATACACTGGATCCCTAAGTGACTTGTTTGGATCTTGCATGTCTAATTTCCCTCGGAGACAACACATCAAACCCCTCACAGAACCGGCAATCATTTCGTTCCACAACTTTAAGTTCTCTTCCACACTGTTATTCCTGCACCTTGATTCTATGCCTTCCATCCTTTCATGCTGCATTTGCTCCCGTGGCGTATCATCAACATAGGCCTTACCCTCACGTATCAATCTCTCGGCCATTTCCATGAGCTGGGGAAAGTAGTCTGATGTATGCGTTACAGAGCTATACTTAATCCCCAAGGTCTCTATATCTTTCAGAAGATTTTCCACGAACTCACTTCTTTCTTTATCCGGGTTTGTGTCATCAAAGCGTACAATCACCTGACCTTTGTACCGCTCTGCAAAATACTGATTCAATAATGCAGCTTTGGAATGACCAATGTGAAGATATCCACTCGGTTCTGGAGCAAAACGCAACTTCACTTTTCCAATCTCAGCTTCCGGAAGATCCAGCTCAGATGCAGATCGGCTTCCTGCTGTTTCATCTAAATTGACACCATTCTCCACTACAGTTGACTGAGTATTTGAAGCTTTCGGCTCCTTTGATGTCAATGTTACTGACTTTCCAGAGCCTTTTTTCCCAACATATGTTTGAAGAACTTCACTCAATGCAGCATCATATTCAGCAGATACTGAATTGAACCACCGAACAAGATTTTGGTACTTCTTAGATTTCCTTAAACTTTCCCATCTCACACCAGTTCCTGCAAGAATATTCAGAAAAACATTTAAGTTTTTGCATAGCAGACTATCAAAGCACACAAAAAGGTAAATATTTAAAAGAATCCTTGTCCTTGGGTAGTAATACTGAAGGATCTAAAAACCGATGTGTCAAGCACAAAGAAAAGCTGGAATATAAATTGGAAGATCAGTAACACGTGATTTTTGTCTGGAAAAACCACCAGACAAAAGGATAAAAACTTATATAGGATGCACCACCAACAAGACACTCAATTAGATAAATATGATTATACGAACACTTACCGACAAGGCCTGCCCAGATTGCTATATCTGCAATTGACAAAATGTTACCAACTAGAAAAGTACGTTGCAATAAGTACTTATCCACACAGCTGCAAGCTCCCTCAAATTCAGAGCCAATACCAAAGATGGGAGCATAGTCTAGCCACTCATCGATCTACAAGAGAGAAAAGGACAATAACAAAGTTCTCAAAATATGAAGGGGGAAAATTCAGCTAGGACAAAAGAAACAACTGTAAATAGCAAAAAGGAATCACTCTACAGCAGAAAATCAGAATAGTTGGATAAATAAGTTTAACAAACTCTGTTTGAAGCTTTTCGAGAAAGAAGAAAATGTGGAAAGAAATGCACCTGGCTTGACTCGTATGGATCCCGCTCATAGAAATTTAGAATGCTGGCAACTCGACCAACATACCTCAGAAGCACATGTGCTCCCTGCAGCCTTTGTCTGAAAATTGATTGAATTAGCATGCCAGAACATTCTGTCTTTTCTGTGTGATTAGAATGGTAAAAAGGGAAATGCATAAGGTAAGACATATTGCAAATACTAAAATTCTCTAGAATATAAGTCGTCAAGAAAAGTTTAAGAGCTGGATACATTGACGAGATTGCTTCCTCTAAAATTAGATTCAGTATGAGTTCCAAGCACTCTCGGTACCCATCTAACACACTTCTCGCTAAATAGGAAAATTTTAAGGATTGGTTTTTGTCCTATCCTAAGTTGCACAAACGTAGACACGACACAAACACGCTAACGTGTGGTTTTTTGAGAAAGTAAGACATAGATTCGTTGGGAACATGTCAATTTAAATTTTTATTTGAAAAATGGGATTGTGGCACGTGACTTATTTGATACATGTCCTTGAGTGTCCAAGCAGTACCAGAGTCCAATGGGAAGCGACAAGACACGTGTCGGATACGGACGCACTGTCCTAGTAGGAGTGCCATGCGTCATAAATCTTATCACGTGATTTATCAATAAAAAAGATTATGTGTCGCTCAATGATCACTTGGCAAAGTGAAGTCAAGAAAATTGCACTTGCTGCTACCGTTTACCACATATGGATGATACGGAATATGAAGATTTTCAGACCACAAGTTGAGTGCATTGTAAGACGAATTAAAACATACATATACAAAGTTATGTTCTCTTTGTATCCGAATGTTTTAATTCATTGCGAGTTGTTAACTATGGGTCACTAATCCATTTTATTTGTACATCTTTTTTCTTTTGTTTGCTCGGGTATATCCGGAGTCTTCGTATGTCCCACATAATTATTGTTTTGCTCGGAAATGCCTAGAGTACATGTACACGAGTTTTTTTTTATCTATAGTAATTTACATATACCGATTAAAAAAAAAAACTCTGGGCATAACAAGTACTAATTACAAAATAAATATTAGAAAAGAGAGAAAAAAGGTAATCAACAATTAAGTAAGATACACTTTCACAACCAAAACAGCTAGAAATCCAATCAATGTCTTGCAATTATAGAAGGCTGAATCCAAAGCCAAAAAAGATGAAGGGCAACACTTTAGAGATGAAGTTGTCTCGTGCAAAAGTTCCATTCAATAATTAAGAACTTGTGAAAAATTAAAAATGATTAGTTACAGAATAAGATGTTGATAAAACCCTAAATTCCAAGTCCTTCCTCTAAGGTTATATTGCCTAGAGATCTGCAGACATTCATAGAAGATCATGGCAATATGCCATCTTTGTTTCTTTACAACCAAAATCATGATTTATTGAAAAAAAAAAAAAAAAATCAAAACCTCAACATTTTCCTTTGAAAACTAGTTTTTAAAGTCAAGCCTTTGAGATAGATAGAAAAAGTGAAAGATCAACCTAAGGGGCAAGAAATCAACAAGTCTCCCAACATCAGTTGTCTAGTCATTTTTCTATTTATTTCCAAGTAGTGTATCAAAAGTGCCTGAGGCTTACATCTTGAGACGTGCCTTGTACAAAGCATTCATTATGAATCTCAAAGCTTGATTTCGTCAAGACTTAAGCCCTGACTAACTGGGACATGCCTAAGGGCATAAACCTTAAAGGCAGCTGAGTGTGCACTTCTTAGTCTTTTTCTTTCGGAACTCTTTTACAGCCCTCAACATTTTACACTTTATTTCATAGTGCATAACAGTTTCTAAAGACTTCTTTTGGTTGTTTTAAACATGGTCACAACTAAAAACCAAAAGAAAAATAATTGGAAATTAGAGAAGAGAACAAGTGAAGAGCCCGTACGGATCCTCTCTCTCTACCCATACAGCAGATATTCAAACAGCCAAGTGAAATTGCAACTTTGCAGCGACTGACATCAAGTGACAAAATTTGCGACTTGTATTTCAAATTGTGGATTAGTTATCTTCTCAAGTGGTTACTACTGTGTTTTTAATTTGCTATGAACTCAATTTATGTTTATAGTAAAAAATTAGATTTTCAATTTTGTCCAAACGTTTTATATGAATCTTTTAAATGTTATATGGTTTATTATGAGTATAGTACGTAGTTTATAATATTTTGAAGTATGTTGAGGCATAAGCTTCGAGAGCTTACACACTACGGAGGCAAGACGCCTCAATATCCTACTTAGTCTTTTTAAACACCAAGATGTTGGTATGACATAGCTGACAGCGTTTCAGTTGAAACAGTTTTTAAGTCATTGAATTCAAAGTTGAATGTCATTTCAGTGTTATAAACAAAAACAAAAAAACAAAACAAAAGACGTAAATTGTTTTCCCACTTGAGAGATATAGCCTAATAATAAATCTATGGGAAATAAGCTACTCCCAGTATCTACAAGAAGAACATTCATTTGAAGTACAGTATTAATTTAGTTTGATATTCTGTTTCATTTGTGCACGACAATCACAAGATTATTATGCTTACACTTTCAAAAATGGACGAGAATTTCAAAACGAAAGCCCTGCAGTCCCCTCGTCTCTTAAGCCCCGTATCACCATCCCCTAATCGTAAAGCAAAAAATCCAGAAACCCTTGCACGCAACACATTGTCAACCCACACTATTCACCATCACTATAAAAGCATAAGCAACAAAACACAGAACATACAAAATGAAAGTATAAAAGGTAACATCTGACCAAATAATTATTATATCAAAAACTACACGAGAAATGAGGAGAAAAAATACCCGTTAGATAATAGAAGGGCCGGCGGGGAACCGGGAGCGAGAGTCTTGTCGGTGGTGAAAGAAAGTCCGGCGATTTTGGCGGCGGCAAGGAGGGCGAGTGGAGGAGTATCGGCGGCGAATGACAGCTTGAGTTCCATTGAGTGAGAGTGAATCGAAACTACACGTCGTCCCTAGGAAGCTTTAAGAGCCGAAAATGGTTATGCGTTACGCTTAAGCGAATCCAGCATAATTGTCAAATCAGTTCATTTGATAGATCCTGAAAGGTTGTTCGGATCCAATTTAAGATCCGCTTAAATTAAGAAATTCACTGCAACAAAAAGATGAATACGTCCCGTTTTGCCTCCCACAGTTTTTCCTAGCTGCTTGTTTCCTTTGCTGTATGAAAATGACGCATAGGCTACAGTTGGATATACGGGCCTTTCAATTGGGCTTTTTTTAAATCACTTTTCACATGATGCAATCAATAAGCAATAAAATAAAAAAAATTAGACTAGTCTAATATTTAACTTCTCTTTTTAACAAATTATTTTCTTACATTAGGAATTTAATAATTCAAAATTTTGTTTATAAATATTCTTTTTGTTATTGTGATAAAAATCAACTAAATAACAAAAATTCTTAAATCAAATGTTTAAGAATTTAATTAATTCAAAAAGTTGATAATTTCGTTCATATTTTTACAATCCTGATATTGTTCATAGCATTATAGCAAGGAATACTTATAGCAGCGGTTCCTAACTTTTCACATTTTTTCAGACTTTACATTAACTTTCAGTTTGTACAGACGATGGTCTCAAACCTTTGAAAAATTAACAGTTGGGGTCCAAATAAATGAATCTAAAAAATAAAAAATCTAAACCCACTTCCTTTCCCACACCCCACCCACAGTGCCTGATCGCCATCACACAATGTCGGCACCGTCGCCGCCACCAAATGATCGGCCAAACCAAACCTTGAGGGTGTGATGGATAAGGATATCTAGAGCAAAATACCCTGGTCTACCCACTAACACCACTATCTTGCCTTGCGACGCCGTTTCCCCACCTCCAACCAATGAAAATTCCCTCAAATCAATCTGATGGTGCTGGAACCCACAAGTCTCGTTCTTGGACCCGTGCTTTTTTCATCTCAATTGATTCTTGATTTTGCAGGCAAAGATGGTGTTGAAGTTGAACGAGAACTGGAGGAAGCTTGGGAGTTTTCAAACTTGGTGGTGCCTCCAAAAGCTACTATTTGCCTTCTCCATATTGCTATGCCATCAATTATAACGGTCACAACCACTCGCCATTTTGCTAACAAAATTTGTGGTCTCAATGGTTACATTTGAACAGCCATTTACGCCTAAATGAACAATCATCACAATTCTACGTGATAACAGTAGCAAGAGTCATAATTATTTTCACATCTCACGTGAACTTATATTCATATTATATAATTTTGTTACAATTACATGATGTCGAACTAATCATAGTTGCAGTTACTTTTTGTTGAACACGTCCAAAATCAAAATGATGACATATACTAACTAGCGCGGTAGGTGTCACATGCACCTTTAACTTTTCTACTAATTATTGCAATTTCTATATATCTATCTATCTATTTATTTATTTATTTATTTATTTTGGAGTGATTTGATTTTTGCTATTTTATGAAATGTTTCTCATTTCTCAAATTTAACTTTAATTATAGGATTTATCAAAAAAAAAAATTTCAAATAAGTCCTTGTTTGAGCATCAGAGAAAAAATATATTATAAAATAATGATTTTTTAAAAAATGTGTGATTAAAAATGAGAAAAAACTTTCAATTTATGTATAAAATTATTTTATTAAAAAATATGTGATTAAAAATGAATCTTGAAGAAATGGCTTTTTTGAAAAAAAAAAAAAATGACAAGCCTAAACATGTAACTATTTCACGGTGGTTCGATATCAAATACCATGCACAAGCACAATTATAATAAAGAATTATACAAAGATCTGCTTTAACATATTCAAAATTATAGAGGCATGTTACACAAATGAGCAAACTCAAGTTCTTGAACTATTTCAGAACTCATTTATCACCATATCTTAATGGAGTGGAATAGTTCGGAATCGGAAAAGTTCTATATGCCATTTGCCTCTCTCTCGTCTATGAAATTCCTTTTTCCGATGACATAATCCGACGGCGGCGAGGAGTGTAATCTTCGATCATTTATTCAACCGAAGGAGAGTGAACAGAATAAAAAAAAATTTATATGAAGAGCATATTTGAGACCCATTTTTTTCAAAAAATACATTTTGAAATAGTGATTTAATGGAGAATGTGTAATTAAAAACTAATTTTTTTTTTTTAAATTTGCTTATAATATATTTTTTTTAAAATGTGTGGTTGAAAATAAGATAGATAAATATGTATTTTTAAAATAATATGTAATAAACAAATGAATAATGTGCGTTGCCTCTATAATGAACATATCATTTAATGTCGTGCAATTATCATTTAAGTTTGATGCTTAACGTCAGTAGTGCGGATTAACATTTTTCAAAAGAAACAAATAAAGCCGCAGCCCTATAAATTGATACAAATTTCTGGAGACGGCAAAATACTAGAAATATTATTACTGACCGATACAGTACAGTGCTCTCCATCTTGCATTCTATTTAATATTTTTCCCAAGCATAAAACCTGGACCTGAAATCACACAAAGACGATGGTATTTGAGCAAATATATCCAAATGTAAAAGGGATTTCAATACACAATAATCTACTAGAATAGATTATTTGATTTTAGGGTTTCCTGAGCATTTTTATATGTGCCACTTCTACCTCTCTGTGTAAAGAACAAAATCAAGAAAAGCACAGTCAGAACAAGAACTTTCCCAGAATAATATAACAAAACTGGAATATATATATATAGATGCTTCAGTGATTTCTCTGTATCTTTTCTAGTTTACTATCTTTTATAGGCGTTTGTTTGTTTGTTTGAATCCCTGTAGAGGAAAGAGTGAGGCTGTCCGAGCATGACCTAACTAGGGTTAGTATTCTCTCATCGTTTACTTTTGAACTTTTAAATTCAAAGTCTAACCCAGGTTAGATCATGCTGGCAGCTTCACTTATTCCTTCTCTAGAGTAAGTTTCTTAACTACCCCATGGCCATCAGAGAACCTTGAACATGAAGTGAGAGGAAAAATGGAACAAATTAAGATGACTTTAGATTGCACAAATTTTGATTATAGAGAACGCAGAAGGGTGTGGGAATTGCTTGTTATTTATAAGCGGAGATTGGAGAAAAAGTAAAAGTAAAATGAAAATAAGCAAAAAGGACACGAACACAATTGTAAAGAGTGAATTAAAAGCCGAGTAATGTGGGCAGGCCAAGAAAGAGATGGAACAGAAAGACTGAAAGAGAGAGGCTAGGGGCACAAACACAGTTAAGAAGCTAAATATTCATCTATACGTTACAGGTGTTGGAAGTGTATGGCGGCGGGACAGGGATTTGGTTTAAACTATACTATTCACAGTTCGACTAAAGTAGAGTGAGAACTAGCCTCCCTAGTTAATAATTTTAAAGTCAAACACCCACTGTCTAAGCATGTTCTTCTAAGCTTTTAACGTGTTTTCTTGTCATTAAATAATAAATATTCAGAGCATGGGGTAGATCATCGTTGAACATGCGATAGGCCTGGTGCGTAAAGGTATTGGCTCTTAAATGAACAGTACTTCTTTCGTATCACCTATAGTTGTTTTTGCGTGGTGTATCTTTTTAGTAAATTTTAACAAAAATGATATAATGTATGAATAAAAAATTGTGAGTCTCATAAAATATATATTTAAAATTAATTATGCGCTTTGACACAATAGCAACAAGTTTTTTTCCTTCTCGAATTATTGTTGTGGAGGTAGTAGACTTTAAACTCGATGAGAAGAATCGAGTTTCAAATCATAAAAAGATGGAGTGACTGCGCATCTTTTGTATCTTCACAAAGAGTTCAAGTTTTTGTAATATTATTTTATCAGAGAATGAGTAATTATAAGAAATGAGGGGAAAATTGATTATAATTTTAAAGGGGCCAAACGAGGGCAAAATTCGTCCTAGGTGCAATTATTTCCACTAAAGATGAACAGTGTTACTCCATTAAAAAAAAAAAAAATTATGAGCGTGACATAAAAATTTCACCAGGGGCCAGAGAGCATCAGAGGATCGTTGACATCTCATAGCATCAGAATAAATGCACGCATATACTAATACAAATGATGCTTCGTAAAGTAATAGACTCTATAGACCTATATAGGAATAGAGAGGTCCTTTCTGCTTTTGTTAAAGCGCTCAATATACTCATTTACAGCTGGGATTTGTGTCTGAATGAAAAAAATATATACAAAACCTATTCTTTTTCTCTTTGTATGCCAACAGTAGCAGCATGTTTAGCCAGGCACAGATGATAAAAAGCAAAGAATCAGTCAACAGCAAAATCTATAGCAGTAATGGCATGCCTCTTGAATGAGATTTTGCTGCAGCAGCATTCACTATTTATTGTCTATCCTTTCACATGCATTCGTATTGCTAGCCAGCTTTGCATTGGAGTTAGGGTGAGCAGAAGTATTAAATCGAACCGTTTTATTTTGCTTAAGTTTTAAATGGTTGTAGGTGTTAGAACCAAGAATTGGTTGGGTCCGTTCAGTTCTCGGTTCTAGTACTCACAATCGAAAACCGAAATGAGCTTTACTTTTAATATGTTTAGTTCATTCATTTAGAGATTGTCAGTCTTAGTTTAATGCAAATTCTCTCGTTATTATTATTATGGAACTGAATAGTTCGATTTGGTTCCTTAGTTACATGTCGAATCAATTAGTCCATTTATAAGATTTTGGTTCTCATTTTGATTCAATTCTCTTTGGAACCAGACCGTGAACATTCCTATTGGAGGATACATCATGAGAGAGAGACAAAGAGTTTTGTTAATGCGGTAGATTAGAGAGGCATAACTAGAGGTGGCAAGTGTCCATGGCAACCTTGTCGTCCTCAACCCTAACAAGGCACAGATCGAGTTGCGGATCAACCCATCCCAAGAGTTAGGTTGTGGCACACCCCAGCGTTATGGGATCATGCAACCTTTGATTTTCAGAGTAACTATAGAAAAACTAGGCTTTTT